AGTGAAATTTTGTTCTGTGCTGTTAGTTTCTGGATTGAATTCAGAATAGTAATGCGCCGAGGAGAAATTGAAGATAAGTTACAAACAACAATTGAAGAGAGATTTACTTTAAAGTGTTTGCTAGGAATGATTGTGAAATAAAAATTACTCACAGGCCAGAGGCTAATGTTGGCTTGTCATGCACTCGCAGACATGCAAGATGATCCATCTACGTTCAAGGCGTACAGTCGTGAAATAATTGATCGTCACCTAAGAATGAACATCCATCTCGAACCCAAATGGTGGAATGTCAGTTCATTTAAACTTTTCTTAAGATCGCTTAACCATTTTATAATAATTTTATTTATTTGAAACGTTTTCAAACAGTTCCGAGATATTCATCAACTTACTCATCTGTCACTGTTCTACTGAAATGAAAACTCTCAACCGTTCGCGATTCATCGGGAATGTTGAGAAATGAGATTATTCTAAACTCCTTTGGCACGTTAACTTACCAGTTTCGCTTGAGTACTATCCACTCAATGCGTCTACAAGTGAACCCGACTAATTTTGCTGATTCTAAGTTGCTTAGAAGAGAAAGAAGTATGTCTGTTGATGTCTGTTATCAAAGAGAGTTGGGGTGGAAATTTGGAGAGGAGAGAAATTCAATATAAATTTTGCTGCTCGATTGGGAGCAGCCGAACTTTGAGCATCATTGACATTGAAGGAATAAAATGCTCGAGTGAATATTCTCAAGTTTTTACTGAATACTTTGAGAGTAGCGAAAGCAATCGAATCGTTCTCGGAAAAACAGCGATGATCAACAAAAGTAATTTCAATTTTCTCACATCGGACAATCGCTCATCATTGAAAGTAGCAAAAACATCCGTGAATGAATGATCAAAGGATCATTCACCTCAATCTGAAGGTCATTGAGTGATGCTTTGATGCTCTGATGGCTCGAATGAATTCATCGTTCATCGAACAAAAGCCTTTCCGAACGAGCGAATCAACAATCCGGCTTTGAAAGTACTTCAACGAACATTTTTCAAGTTTTGTTTGGTTGAGCACGTAATTGAGTGAGTTACTGCAACATTTTTTCCTTTATTAACAACAGTTTTTTAACAGGATTTCTGGCAAATATTCCTGGAATTTTTGGAGACGAAAGGTCCAGTTGACGACGCAACAAAGAAGGCATGGTTGGAACTTGGTAAACAATTCTCGGATGAATGCCTCGCACATCTCAAGAACCTTGGCCAACCACATTGAGCTGAACAGTGCTGTTGCGATGCTTTTTGTTACGATTGAATACCCCATTCTTGCTATTGCTTCATGAGGAATATGCTACGGAACTCATGTCAAGTTGTCAACGAGTGATGGTAACAATGAATAGATTTGCCCCTTCATTCCCCATCAGAACGCTGTCACTGAAGAAACGCTTAACGTAAAACAGCTAGTTAGGTTCTTTCTCGATTTTGTGATGAAATTCTAAGGAAACTTATCGAGATCGAATAGGAACTGTCCCGAAAATAACAATTTTTTTGTCATTCCTGGTATCAGGCGATTTTTTTTGCCAGTTTCACTGCCCATTAGCTGGAAGTTCTACTCGCCTTATCGGCTGAGTTTTCACTTTCATTCATCCATTCTTGAACCTAAACTGATATTTCTGAGTTGAAGTGAAGCAGATGAAGCAAANGCCTCCTCGTTTCGCAGATTTCACATCCATATGCGGTTATTATAAAGCGTTGCATGACTGTTGATCATTAGCATTTCCGAAAGTATTGTAGTCAATGGGATAGAGTCCGGTATTGTGTGAACCAAATGACGTCCATACAAAAGGTGCTGTATAAGATTTTCGGCGATTCTATAAAGCGGATTTGCACCACTTTCAATTTCCGTCATGCAACGCTTATTGCGTTCGATAGTTTTGTGTTTTATGTGGATATTTTTGGTTTGATGCGGATGTCTTGATATTTTGTATTCATCGTATGAAATGTAATATTACCAGTTTTTATCGTTTATAAATGTGATGACATATAGGAAACCATTTCTTATAATAAATCGACTGAAAATGTCTCAAAATTGATCAGAACAATTTCAATCGTTTCTTTCTTATGGCACTACTGCAAGCACACCATAAATCACGGTTTGCCGAAAGAAAGTCCGATCTTCTCGAATCTTGCGCCATCTATAGTGAAGAACCCGAACTCAATTATTCGTTTACCACCTTTCGAATAAAATTGCCATGTTGAGAATCATTTTTTGTTTCGAAGGCTAGTAGTGATCAACGGAATCCAGGTATNTTACTCAAATACGTTCCAAACTCAGCTGCGAGAGCCATGTTCATCTGCAATTTTCACGTTCACTGCATATTTCACCTGACCAAAGATAATGCAGTTCTTTAAAGTCCCTAGAAGCTAGTTTTTTTCATCTTACACTCATTATCTTTTTAGTTCAGCATTCACTGATAACTGAGAGTGATAACTCAGACAAGTGATAGAGCACTCTGTCAGTTTCACTTTCAGTTAGGTTAGATGGGTCCATCCAACTTCGATTAGTTTTCTATTTTTGTGTTGACTGGATGATCTACTAGAACATGTAGTACTGCCTTTCCGCTAGCAGTTCAACCAGGCTTTTTATTTTGTTGCTCAAAGCAATAATCTATAGCGAAATGTCAACGACTGCTATAAAAATAATCATAAAATGTTTGGAGGACATCATAAATGAGGGGAATTCGTTTCTTCAGTCGTCAACATCAAATGTGTTCAGCAACACTGACAGATGTGTTCAGCCACACTGACAATCCATCAGTTGTTTTTTTAGAGAGTTGTTTTGATTGCGGACCTGGCACCAGGTTACGCTGCTCTACCGCAAAAACCTTTGATTCAGTCATAACAAATGTTATTTATTATCGTACTACTCGAATGTGAATTGCATACTATTTTGAAGTGCCGAATTCAATTCAAAGTTTAACATCTCACTAAATAAGAGCTGCAACTCACTGCAAAGGAAACTAACTGAGTGGTGCCATTGGGATCGTTGTCTTGCATACCACGATACCACTTAATCTAAAAAGTTGGCTTTGTCCATGAAATATGATGAGAAGAGCTCTTCAACAATCATGCGTGGAATCTACTCACAAGCATTCTCCTGCTACAATCAGAGAAACCATCAATGTCAACTACATCATCAATATATCAACGGTTCACAGTGTTAGACGATTGATGAACTGTTGGTATTACCTAAATGGGTCAGCCGTGAATAGAAGTTGCATTCCATCTTGAATAACAAATAAATAAACTATTTAGTTGTGAAGCACACTGCCTGATCAATTCAAAATTGGATCAAATGTCCACGGGAAATGAAGTAAGGTGAAGACTACAATTTTTTAAGCCAAAAATTTCTCAGAAAGCAACTATATTGTTTGCTTGTAAATTCATTTACTGGAATTCAACAATCATTTCTGGTTCACAATTTGATCACAGTGTACACAACAAAACGAAAACATTTCACTCATGGGCGCACTCCCTCTCAGTCACGTCCTTCTTAGATGAATGCTTGACATTAAAAAACTGAGAAAACCAAAAGCGAATTGTTCAGGTAGACTGTTACTGACGAATACTTCGTCATCATGAACGTTCCTATTGACCTCATCATCAAAAGTTTTCAT